TGCGCTCCCAGCGTCTCGCTCTGCTCTGCCGGGGGAAATCCAGGACATTGTGAGTGCTTTACAAATTCCCCCCGGACGCTATTTTTAGCACAAAAAGGAGGACATGTCCGGGTAAATCCGGACGAATGGTAACCCTACCAATGACGGATGGACGTGCCGCCCCTTTCTATTGGCCTCCCCAGGCACCTGCTTCCTTCGCAAGCAGAGGCAAGCAGCCGCCTAGGAAAAGAACCTGTTATCTGTGATTGGGGCACGTCACCCCCCGTACACAACCTGTGTAATCACTGTTCAGGCTGCCAGAGGCAGAGATAAGAGCGTTCTGCCTGGCTGATGCTGCCTTGAACCATGCGACCCTGGAAACCACTGTGGCTCTGTCTCCATCCCTTTGCTCTGAGTTCCTGGTGTGGGTGTGTGTGTGTGTGAGTGTCTCTCTCTTTTTCTCTCTCTGCAAAGACCGGTTCTTCCCCCAGCCAGCTGGCACCTTTCCCCTCGGTTCTCCAGCTGGGGCTTTTGCCCGGCTTCCCTGCAGAGAGGTGGGAAAATCCCCTTCCTCTTGCTTGTTGGTTGCTAGCCTGTTGTCTTTCCAGCTTCTTCATTGATCTGGGTCAGTTTCTGCCAGGCCTTTACTGACCCATTGGTTCCATCCCAGACAGCGGCGTCACCTGACACCCCGGGTCTCTCACTCTGCCCTAAGAACTGTTTATACTCCGTGTAGAGCAATGTAAAGCAAAGAGGGAAACTGAGGCACACCTACACCTATTACCAAAATTCCCTCTCCAATAGTGCTGAGCCAATTGAATCAGCTGGGGACCAGGGACCATTGACTGCAAGGCAGTGATCTTGCTTTACACCAGCTGGGGGTCTGGCCTCACATTTCCTTGATGGGGACGAGTATTTATCTGGGTGCTAACTGCAGAGGCCCCATAAAGTTTCTTCAGGGTGTGTGGGATGTGCCAGCCCAGGGAGGTAACTTGCCAAGCTTTGATCTGAGCAGTGACTCACCCGCCTGGCGCTGCTTTCCGGCAGGGAGCAGGAGGAAGTTCTTAGAGCCCCTGTTCAGCTCCTCACCCTGTTCCCTGCCCCTAGATCCTGGTGTCTGTGCCACCCTAGAGCCCCTCCCAGTCTGCCAGGGGCCACACCGAGCAGGGCTGGGAGCCTGTTGCACCAGGAGTGAGTGTGAGCATCTGTCAGCAGAGACACGGACCCTTCACCACCCACCATGGAGCCCCAGGTGAGCCCCCTTCTCCCCAACACCTCTTCCCCATGGAGCCCAGGGGAGTCCCCACCTGCCCCCAAATTACCCCTACCCCATGGAGTCTCAGCCCCCTGCCTCCCACCTTCCCTGCCCCATGGTGCTCAGGGGAGTCCCCTCTGCTCCCCACCTACCCCTGCCCCATGGAGCCTCAGGAGAGTTCCCCCTCTGGCCTCTAGCTACCCCTTCCCCATGGGCCCCCAGGTGAGCCCCCCCTTCCTCCAACACCCCTGCCCCATAGAGCCCCAGGGGAGTCTCCTCTGATCCCCACCTTCCCTGCCGCATGAAGCCCCTGGGGAATCCTCCCTCCCCCCACCTCCTCCTGCCCATGGAAACCCTGATGACTCCCCCCCGTGCCCCACGGCCTGCTGACCTATGGAACCCCACGGGGGGTCCCCTGCCCCCTCTCCTATCGGTAGCACAGCAGGGGTTAGGGGATGTGGGTCGGGGGGCTCTCGGTTGTGCCCAGGGCTCAGGGGCGCTGACACTGCAGGGTCCTGTGCAGGTGCCGGGACGGATGCCCAGGGCTGGACTCCTGCTGCTGCCCCTTCTCCTCTGCTTCGGGCCAGAGACCGCCGGGAGCATCGACCCGGCCGCGCTCAAAAAAATCGTGGATCATGTTCATAAGTGAGTGACCGGCCTGGGGTTTGTCTCTGTCCTTCCCGCCCCTGTACCCATCTGCGAAGAGCAGCAGAGAATGGCCCTGGTTGGATCCCACCAGCTTGTAGGGACGCCCAGCAAGGTCGGGGGGCCCAACTGAGCCCGGCTCTGCCCAGATCCCACCTGAGAGCCAGGGGCTGCTATTGTGCCAGGCACTAGAGACACCTAAACGAGGGCAGAGAGCACCCAGCATGCCAGGGATGCACTGAGCCCTGCATTAGATTATGCACTGTCTTGATTCTAGGGGTGATTCTGGGGGTGCAGGGGGAGATGGAGCCTACAGCTGGGAGAGGTGATTCTGGGGGCTCGGGGGGAGATGGAGCCCATAGCTCGGAGGGGTGATTCTGGGGCTGCAGGGGTAGGTGGAGCCCAGAGCTGGGATGGTTTTTCAGGGCCTATTCCCCTTTTTCTCCCTTTTACTTGGCATCTCCTGGCTCAGTCGCAGGAGCTGGTGCCCCCTGACCCCTCTGTGTCCTGCCCTCTTTCAGTAACGGCGGAGTTAACAAGCAATATGCTTTCGCTGTCACGCTGCCCCATGGCACCTGCAGCAACCCCCAGGATGTGGCCACCTATCTGCCCATGGCCCAGCTAGCAGACATGAGAAAGAAGATTGACTCGTTCGGTGCCCTGTACAACCTGCCCAACGGGAACATTGTGGCTGCCCGGCCAAAGGAAGTGAATAAACCGAAAGGGAAATACACGGAGCACAGCGAGTGGCGTCTGCTCTCCGGCCCAAACAGCCTTGTGGCCCAGCTCACGGCCAGGACCTATGGCCAGAACAGCTGCCTGATCTTATTCACCTTCAATTCGCCCTGCTCCACCAAGTGTCTGCGCGAGAACGGGCGCTCCAACATCGTGCAGATGACCAGCGCTGCCTTCTCGGCCATCAACAACAACTACAAGGCCTTCGTGTTCCAGAAGATCTTCGACTATGACATGAAGCCTGAAGTGACCCGGAAGGACCTGCTGGATGCCTGGCACCGGCTGCGCGATGTGCCCCTGCTGCGCTGCGACAACAACGGCTGCCAGGACTGTGCTCCGGTGGACCCCCGAAACAACCCCTGCCTGGCTGGGAAGAAGTAGATGATGGAGCAGAGGCAGGAACCACGTGCGACTCTTTCTGCCACTGGCCTCCCTCGCTGCCCATGTGCTTCTGGATCGCTGAGTGTAACAGAAACATGTCCCAACCAGGCACCAGGCTGCAATCCAGAACCCCACTCTGACCTGTGCTCCAATCTAGAACCCTAATCCACATGTGTGCTCCAATCTAGAACCCTGTTCCTGGGCATGTGTTGATTTAGAATGTGATTTCTCAGTATGTGCCAACCTAGAACCCCTTCCAGAGTCTGTTCCCATCTAGAACCCCATGCATGGATGTGTTAAAATCTGCAATCTAGAGCCCCATTGCTGTGTGTGCTCCAATTCAGTACCCCATTCCCATCTTCGGTTGTGATCCAGCCTAGAACTCCATCCCTGGGTGTGCTCCAATCTGTGATCTAGAAGCCCGTCCTTCTCCCCAGGTGTGCTCCAATCCAGAATTGCCACCCCCTAGTGCACCTCAAGCTCCATTCTAAACCTTCATCCCCCACAGTGCGTCAAGCTCCAATCGAGAACATGTCCCCCATTCCTGAGTGGTCTCGGAGCTGCAGTCTAGAATCCAAATTCACCCAGTGATCTGAAACTTCGATCTAGAACCCAACCTCCATCCCTGCTCAAGGCTGGGGGGGGGGGAGACAGTGGATGGGAGCAGGGCACATTACGCTTGGCGACTGTATCATGGGGCTGGATCAGAGGGGAGAGCCCCTTACTCAGATGTTGGTGGGTGGGAGGATTCCTGGGCATGGCCCATAGCCAAGGTGGGGCAGTGGGGATCTTGGAGCGTGGGGCTGCTTTGGGGTTGTTCCATTCTGTGGGTGATGCTTTTTGCTGATTCTCTGACATGCGATTGCTGCCAATAAAGCTTCTGAGCATCTTGGGGCCTCACATCTCTGTCCATGCATCCGGGTCTCCCAGCTCTGTCCGTGTATCGGGGGGTCTCATGTCGTCCCCTGGAGGTGCTGGGTCTCCAAGGGCAGCCCCTTATTGAGCCTGGCTCCCAGCTGGCAGCCTGTGCGGCAGATTGGGTTTTACTGGGTCCAGAGCCCCCGAGTGTTCCCCTCCCCATCCCTAGGACCCCCATCCCCCGCTCCCTGGGCGGGGATCCCCTGAGGAGACAGCCCCGATCCCCCAGGGATGGGAGGTTGTGACACTCTGTACCCCAAAGCAATACCCTGGCATGGTTTGGGGTAGCTGAGCTCTGTAATCAGAAGGAGACAGGCCATGGGACAGACTCTGGCACAGTCCCTGCGCCCCGTCCTCGCCACACAGTCCCAGAGATGTGGCCCCTGGGAGAAAACCCAGCCAGAGGAACCTCTCCGAGATCCCAGAGATTCCTGGGAGCTACGACCAGCACTGCCTGAGGACCTAAATCCAAAGTACCCTCTGTACCCATCTATCTACTTAATGGAACCCCACAGCCTGGGAGCCAGGACTCCTGGGTTCTATCTCTGGCTCTGGGATGGGACTGGGGTCTAGTGGTTAGAGCGTGGGGAGAGGGAGCTGGGAGTGAGAGGTGCTGGATGCTGCACAGACACGGTGAGAAAAAGCCGCCAGCAGGGCCACCAAGAGCGGGTTCGGGCCCCGGTGAAATTTTTTTTTCAGGCCCCCCAGCAAGGACGGACCGGCTAAACAGGGCCGACCGGGGTGTGGGGTGGGGTGGGGAGCTGGGGAAGTCGGGCCCCGGGCCCCCTTCCAGACTGCCGGGCCACGGTAAGGCGACAAGAGAGGAGGGAAGCCAGACCCCGGGCCCCCTTCCAGACCGCCGGGCCCTGGTAATTTGTACCGGCTTCCCGCCCTCTCTCGTCGGCCCTGGCCGCGAGCCTAAAGCCAACCCTGACTCTCTAACCAGACACAAGGTGCAGGGAGGCTGATTATCCCCCGTTCATACAAGGGAAAATGGAGACACAGGCAGGTTAAGTGACACCACAAGGTCCCCTGGGGGCAGAGATTCCCCCCTCCCTCAGCCCTGAATCTCCAGCAGCTGGGAACCCCCCAGTGACTCCATCCCTGCTTCCCGGCCGGGTGACCCTCTGCTGGGCCCAGAGCTCAGGGCAGAGCCTGGCTCTGAGCATCCCATCAGCATGGAGACCCTCTGTGGATCTGGCTGGGTGTGGGGCTGGGACCGGGGATGCCAAGCTGGGCCCCAAATCTGCTACAATGATCTCCACAGAATCACTGGATCCGACCAGTTGGGCGGCTCCGATCTGGAGCGAGATCAGCAGCTGTAGAATCTTGTGTCTCCACATCTAGCGCTGGGGATGGTGAATTCACCCCCGTCCCCAGCATCCAGCTCCTGGATTTGGATTCCATCTTTATACAGAAATAACCTTCTGGCCTCGCACCGGCACTAACAGTGGAGGGTAACAGCTCCCCACACACTGGGGCTGATGGAGATGGAGGGTCCGGGCGCAGGGAGCTCTGCGTTCACACACAAACAGGAGTGAGAAAGGCAGACACAAACCCCTCCCCGTGTGTCCGTAACCTGCCCTTAGCACCCAGCCCCAGGGACAGTGCCAGAGCTAACAGACACCTCACTGCATCCACAGGGAACCTGTGAGCTAAGTTCTGATCTCAGCCCCCGGGGTCACTCCAGAGTCACCCCTGACTGCACTGGGGGCAGGGCCGGGTTCCGATCTCAGCCCCCCCGATACCAGGAGGCTGAAGTGACTTTTGGGGTGAAGTGCCTCTTTTCCCCTCCTCCTCCTCCCCACCCACCCTGTCCTTAACAGTAAAGTTTCCCCAGCCCCACAGATATTCATAGCCCGACATCCTGCTTCACCCGGCCAGCCAGCAGCCTGGTTTGAGCACAGATCCTGCCGACTACACCACTGTGACGGGTTGGATCACAGAAACCTTCTTGGGAGCTGCCAACTGATGCGCCAAGACTACTTCTGCCCCTGCTTTCCTGCCCTGGCAGCTTAGGACTTCAGTGCCCTTCCTGGTTTGAGCCAGACATGCTAGCCTGCTACAAACCCAGACCCAGGTCTGGGCCACATCCCCTAACAGCTGTAGGATTGACTGAAAGCAGCTTACAAAAGTGTTCTTATCTTTAACACTCAGATGGCCAACTCCCAATGGGGTCTTAACCCAAATAAGTCCGTTTTACCCTTTATAACGCTTATTCAGGGTAA